ATTTTGGACTTTATATTGAACTAAAGGGCATACTTCGGTTAAATTAATTTCCGTATTAGAACGTAATCAAAAATGAGACAAAAGCAATTTATTTTTAACACTCATCAATTCTCTAAGTAAAAGCCTATCAGTAACATACTTGAAATTTTTTTTAAATTATAAAAATTTCGGGAAACCTTTACTTTCATTTGTTTTTCATTGTTATTTTTATTTATTAGCATATCCTTAAAACGCATACAAAATTGTGGTCGATTGCTATATTCTTTCTATTAAGTATGCTCCCCTCAAAAAATATTTTGTAAACGAGAAAAGCTAATGCGATATATTGCCAAATAAAGGAAAAGAGCAAAACGTGGCTCCAGCCCGTAAAGTTTAAATTCAAAATAGAAACATGAACCGGGATTCAACACAAACTATAAATTTTCAGAACCAAAGATGTCTAGGCAAAACTTCTGGGTTATTTAAAAAAAATAATTTCAATGAATAAAACAAAAAAAAACTGATTTTGGCATACATAATCTGTTAAATCTTTTGCTCTTTTCTTCTGAATGAAATATGTGTTTGGTTACTTTGAAAACTACTCCGAAATTATATTAGAAAGATTTTTTTATTTAATCGAAATCCTATTATAACCTTTATTTTAATAAAGATAGGGGGCTAAAAAAAAGTGAAAGTTCACCTTGTATTGAATTGAAGATTTAAGAAACTAGTTTTTGCAAGCTTTTCTCTTTCAGAGTATAAGTAAAACTAATTTAAATGACTTATAAGTAAATTATACTTTTCTCAAGAAATTCAACGGTAAAATATTTCCATTCAATTAGAACTAACTAACTTTATCTTTGAAAAATAGACATCATATTACTTCTAATAATTAATTCCAACTAATACCCTGAAGTAAAATCTGGAAATATTGTTCTCATAAATTTTTTCAGCATTTTATTTTTGCTCTTTCATTACTTTTAGGCTGATAGTACATATTTTGCGAGTGGTTTAGGCCTTTTTCTGGGTTGAATTCTTGAAATTACCATCAAAATTGCAGTAGAATAAAAAATATTAATATTCTGGATATGTATTATATGGGTTTATCACAATATAAATTCATGAAATGATTAAAAATAATTTTAGTATTGTATTTTTGTGAAGTAATTGAAATGTTTTCATCCTTTGTGTGTTTATAGACTATAACCCTTTTTAGTAATCACATCAAGTTTTAAGACAATTTTTGGAGCGGAATCTGATGTGTTCCTTACATGTTTAGCTTTTCTTTAAATCCATTAACTCTTAATTAATTTCATTTACCCTTACTAACTAATAGTTTTTTTTGATAAATTATATTTCTAGTATCACAGGGGGTATTTAAAAGTCCTTAAAATCTTTTAAGTTCATTAAAATTCTCCTTTTGCTTTAAGTTTGCAATAAATGCATGCCGAAATCTATCTTACAATATTAGACTTACTATCGCATAACGCGCTCCATTTATTTTGCATTTTCTCATTAAAAAACAAGATTGTGCTTAATTTGTTATTATCTCGCCTAATGTCTAAAAACTACTCATAAAAAAAAATTTTTTTTTTGGAGAATTAAGGCAGTGAATGTGATGATATACATATATTCCTTATGCCTAAATTAGAGAAAGAGGAAAACTTCTAAAAATAAATGTATTTAAAAAATAAGTAGCATACTCTATCATTATCAAAACAAAATCTAAAATGTTTAGGCAAATTTTCTGGGTTAATTTTTTTTATAAAATGGTTAAAATATTTAAAAGAATACAAGGGATGTTGACAGAGCTTGCTAATAAGGCTGGTGATTTTTTTGTGATTTATTTCATTGACTCGTCGTCTAAATTCTCTAGTATGACTATTCATTTTAGTTAAGCTCAAACTCTCATCCTAAAAAGCTATGATTTCTTATCTATAAAACTCCTTATATAATAGTTGAAATAGATATGTTTGTTTCAGTGCTTTTACCATCTATTCAATGTAATTCATTTTTACCATCTATTCAATGTGGTTGTGTGTTCCTTTAAAAACTTTCAACTTTAACCCAAATCTTATTTCACTTTATTCATTCCTTTCATTTTTTATTTTTTATAGTAAGCCAAAAAAATCACAAAAGAAAAAGCAAAAATAAAATTTAACTTAAATTTAAAAAAAAACTAGTTTGGGCAGATTCTATTTTTGGTTATGAAAGGCAAAACTAAACTTCAATTAGTTTATATTTAACTTGTCTAGCTTCACTTAAGAAAATAAAATTAATTTTTTTTATAATTAAACCTAATGTATTTAATAATCATTTTTTTAAAAACAGTTCTGTAAATATTTGGTTTTATAAATTTTTATTTATTTTTGTTAGTGATATTTCTTTCATTCTGGAAGGGATTATTTGATTAGGGTTTAGGCCGGTTTCTGGGTTATTAAAAAAAATAATTATTTCAAAACAAAAAAAAGTTGTGTATGTATTATTGGGCTTACTCTGTTAATCATAAAACGCCTCTATTTAGCATACATGTAAAATTTTATAAGAATAATATAAGTATTGGGTTCCTAATAGTTTATAAACTTTTTGTAAAATAAGCTTTGGCCTTGCGTATAAATTTAGTCCAAAGAAATTTAAAAAAATATAATAATCCTAGATTCTTACTTTCAGAAATCAATATTTGGTTAACAATAGAACAATCATCTGAGTTAGAAACACAGAAAAAAGGAAGTTTACAAAAAGGGCTAAGATTAAATATAAACCAATTCATTTTTTTAATAACCATTTCAAATTCAGATAATGAGATTGGCTATCAGGCAATGCTATTCAAATGATGCTTTGGCAATATCACAAGGACAAGGTAATCTTAGATGGTAAAGTTCTGGTTAAAGTTTGATAAATAAATGAATAAATCTAATTAATTTTTTTTCATATCAATGCCGAACATTGGGATAGCAAATCAAACTGAATTGGAACTTTATGTTTTTGGCCTTGGCTATACAGATGAATTTTTTTAATTTAATTTATCTCATTTATTTTATATTTACACTTTGCTTTACCTTAATATTCCCACAATACCCATATCCTCAATTTAAATGTTCCCAATAGTACGTAAAATTTCCGCGGTACTACAAATGACTTTCAAAAAAACTAGATATTAATCTCTTAAGAGTTAATATCTTCATTTTTAAAGGTTACTTTTAGTGCCTAGCAAATTTTATTTCAAAAACTAAGTTATGGATTTAATAACTGCTATAAATCTGTATAAGTATCATGGAAAAACTGGATAAATTCCTTATTTTTCATAATACTTACACATAAATTTACAGCAAATATTAATCCTACCAACCCTCACATTTATCAAAATACCTCTTAAGAAAATTACTTTATTTTTGTAGAAAATACTTAGGTAATACCGAATTTATTTTAAATTTTTTAATCATTCTCCCAAATATTACTATTAAATTGACCAGGGACGGTCAAAAATAAGGAAGGAGTGGATTAAGCTGGCTTAGGCTAATAAATGGGTTTATTTTATTTGATTTTAAATGTTTAATTATTTTATCCTATGCGTTGTTTCACATTCATTTATTTCATTCCCTTTCCTTTTATATACGGTCATTTTTATACCTAACACAAAATGCTCAATTCCAAATTAGGGTCACAAAAAAACCACTTGGCCAATTTAGGTTTAACTTTGATGGGATAGAAAACTATTAGGAAAATTAAGAAATCAAATAAATAAAACATGGCATCTTAGATAACAGTTAAAACAACTCTTTCCATAAAATCAATTAAAGATATAGAAAAGACTGAATAGCTTCGGCTAAATTCAGAACAAAAAATGTACCCAAGGGGTCAACTATGCGCTTTAAAACCAAGTGACCTGAAAGAATCACTTACCGGCTTTGGCCATTATGCAGTATGTGAAGAGGCTTCGGCAGTCTTCAAATTAAGTACGTGATAATGTAAATGGAAAGAGTTGTCTCAAAAAAAAAGTCTATACTTAAAATGCCATGTTTCATTTAAATGATAGGAGAAGGGGCACCCTAACATTTAAAGACGACCAGGGACGGTCTAGGTGGGCAAGGGAGGTGTAAGGTATATCCGTTGATTGCCTAAGCAAAGGTGATCTTTTGGGCGAGCATTATGTGTTGATGGATTTTCCCAACCATTACACTATAATTATTATTTATCTTTATTTCCTGTGTCACCTCCCATTCACATGCTTATGTTTATATATTGTTTATTGCTTCACCGATAAATCAGTTCCCAGTTAGTCAGTCTTTGTGTATATATGTGCCTATAAGGAAGAGCACACCGGTGTGGCTCAGTGGTAAAGGTTAAGCTTGGGTCTGGCCAACCCACAAGCTATCCTTAGGGATTATAATGGTTTAACTGTGCCTAGGTATATTTGACAGAATGGACCCGGCATGATTCCACTCAACTGGACTTAGGTAAATCACATTCTGTTTTAATTAATTAAAACACCAAAAGAAGGCCCTCCTCCAACATTTCCTGCAGATGAACAAGTTGTTGGGGGCGAAGAAAATCCAGCGGCCGCTGCAAAATATTGTGGATTCCGCATCATTAAGCCTTGATAGGCCATTAGGGCGGTTGCATTATTAACTTGGAATAAAAAATATTTTCTTCGCAATTTCTGGTAGTTTCCGGTTATCCGCCAGCATCTTAATTCCGGCAATTTTCTTTTTTTATCCCAAAATATTATAAATGGGCAAAGACATATAATTTTACCCTCTATCAATAATTACCCTCTATCAAATATCTCCTAGACTAATTACTCCCTCCAGAGAGAGGTAAGAAAATAAATACCCTCCCCCCAAATTCCCTACCGCACGTTTAAAATTCAAAACAGCCCCCTCTCAATTAATTACTCCCTCCAGCGAGAGATTGTAATTACTCAGGAAGTATTTGGGCATTATTAAGCAAACTTGACCTTTTGTAAAACGCTGGAGAAAGAAAATGGGGACGGATAACCGAAAAGCCTCAAAATTTTTTCGTTAGAAACCAAAATTTGCAGCAGCAGAAGAATCAGTCTCTAGCGAAGAAGGGACAGATGCTGTTGTAGTCGATGCTTGAGGCACAGTAGAAATACTCCTTTTTGGTTGTTGGGGAAGATTATTATTTTGATTAACGAAGAATTGGTCTGTGAGTAAATTTAGAGGAAGTGAAGGTGGTAAATTATTTTGGGGATGAAGTCCAAAGGAATCTTGAAAAAGATTTTCGAAATTTTTTGGATTATTATTGGGTTATTTTCCAAAATTAAGAAAAAAAGATTTATTCTCATACCTTCGCCAACTCCAGCTAAGGCAAAAGCTTGTGGAATAGGAAAGCGTTGCTGTAGCGCAGCCAATCGGAGCGTCAATAATTGGTCTTTATTTACACAATTCTAATAAAATAAATTCCCAAAAAAGAGGATAAAAATTAGACACCTGCAAACTTTCCGGAATTGCTCCAGTCAAAGCATTCCGAACTTCACGAGCTGCAGAAATGCGCAAATCTTTTAGGGATTCTTCAGAGAACCAAGCTGCGAAACTTGGTGTGCAGATAACATTTGGAGAATTTAGAAGAGCTTCTAATAAAACCAAATGTTTAAGTTAAAACCAGAATTTTTCCGGAAAACATTTAATCTCTAAACAAAACCAGAATTTTTCCGGAAAACATTTAATCTCTAAACAAAACCAGAATTTTTCCGGAAAACATTTAATTTCTAAACAAAACCAGAATTTTTCCGGAAAACATTTAATTTCTAAACAAAACCAGAATTTTTCCGGAAGACATTTAATTTCTAAACAAAACCAGAATTTTTCCGGAAAACATTTAATTTCTAAACAAAACCAGAATTTTTCCGGAAAACATTTAATTTCTAAACAAAACCAGAATTTTTCCGGAAAACATTTAATTTCTAAACAAAACCAGAATTTTTCCGGAAGACATTTAATTTCTAAACAAAACCAGAATTTTTCCGGAAAACATTTAATTTCTAAACAAAACCAGAATTTTTCCGGAAAACATTTAATTTCTAAACAAAACCAGAATTTTTCCGGAAAACATTTAATTTCTAAACAAAACCAGAATTTTTCCGGAAAACATTTAATTTCTAAACAAAACCAGAATTTTTCCGGAAAACATTTAATTTCTAAACAAAACCAGAATTTTTCCGGAAGACATTTAATTTCTAAACAAAACCAGAATTTTTCCGGAAAACATTTAATTTCTAAACAAAACCAGAATTTTTCCGGAAGACATTTAATTTCTAAACAAAACCAGAATTTTTCCGGAAGACATTTAATTTCTAAACAAAACCAGAATTTTTCCGGAAAACATTTAATTTCTAAACAAAACCAGAATTTTTCCGGAAAACATTTAATTTCTAAACAAAACCAGAATTTTTCCGGAAAACATTTAATTTCTAAACAAAACCAGAATTTTTCCGGAAGACATTTAATTTCTAAACAAAACCAGAATTTTTCCGGAAAACATTTAATTTCTAAACAAAACCAGAATTTTTCCGGAAAACATTTAATTTCTAAACAAAACCAGAATTTTTCCGGAAAACATTTAATTTCTAAACAAAACCAGAATTTTTCCGGAAGACATTTAATTTCTAAACAAAACCAGAATTTTTCCGGAAAACATTTAATTTCTAAACAAAACCAGAATTTTTCCGGAAAACATTTAATTTCTAAACAAAACCAGAATTTTTCCGGAAAACATTTAATTTCTAAACAAAACCAGAATTTTTCCGGAAAACATTTAATTTCTAAACAAAACCAGAATTTTTCCGGAAAACATTTAATTTCTAAACAAAACCAGAATTTTTCCGGAAGACATTTAATTTCTAAACAAAACCAGAATTTTTCCGGAAAACATTTAATTTCTAAACAAAACCAGAATTTTTCCGGAAGACATTTAATTTCTAAACAAAACCAGAATTTTTCCGGAAGACATTTAATTTCTAAACAAAACCAGAATTTTTCCGGAAAACATTTAATTTCTAAACAAAACCAGAATTTTTCCGGAAGACATTTAATTTCTAAACAAAACCAGAATTTTTCCGGAAAACATTTAATTTCTAAACAAAACCAGAATTTTTCCGGAAAACATTTAATTTCTAAACAAAACCAGAATTTTTCCGGAAAACATTTAATTTCTAAACAAAACCAGAATTTTTCCGGAAGACATTTAATTTCTAAACAAAACCAGAATTTTTCCGGAAAACATTTAATTTCTAAACAAAACCAGAATTTTTCCGGAAAACATTTAATTTCTAAACAAAACCAGAATTTTTCCGGAAGACATTTAATTTCTAAACAAAACCAGAATTTTTCCGGAAAACATTTAATTTCTAAACAAAACCAGAATTTTTCCGGAAGACATTTAATTTCTAAACAAAACCAGAATTTTTCCGGAAGACATTTAATTTCTAAACAAAACCAGAATTTTTCCGGAAAACATTTAATTTCTAAACAAAACCAGAATTTTTCCGGAAAACATTTAATTTCTAAACAAAACCAGAATTTTTCCGGAAGACATTTAATTTCTAAACAAAACCAGAATTTTTCCGGAAAACATTTAATTTCTAAACAAAACCAGAATTTTTCCGGAAGACATTTAATTTCTAAACAAAACCAGAATTTTTCCGGAAGACATTTAATTTCTAAACAAAACCAGAATTTTTCCGGAAAACATTTAATTTCTAAACAAAACCAGAATTTTTCCGGAAGACATTTAATTTCTAAACAAAACCAGAATTTTTCCGGAAAACATTTAATTTCTAAACAAAACCAGAATTTTTCCGGAAAACATTTAATTTCTAAACAAAACCAGAATTTTTCCGGAAAACATTTAATTTCTAAACAAAACCAGAATTTTTCCGTAAGACATTTAATTTCTAAACAAAACCAGAATTTTTCCGGAAAACATTTAATTTCTAAACAAAACCAGAATTTTTCCGGAAGACATTTAATTTCTAAACAAAACCAGAATTTTTCCGGAAAACATTTAATTTCTAAACAAAACCAGAATTTTTCCGGAAGACATTTAATTTCTAAACAAAACCAGAATTTTTCCGGAAAACATTTAATTTCTAAACAAAACCAGAATTTTTCCGGAAAACATTTAATTTCTAAACAAAACCAGAATTTTTCCGGAAGACATTTAATTTCTAAACAAAACCAGAATTTTTCCGGAAAACATTTAATTTCTAAACAAAACCAGAATTTTTCCGGAAAACATTTAATTTCTAAACAAAACCAGAATTTTTCCGGAAAACATTTAATTTCTAAACAAAACCAGAATTTTTCCGGAAGACATTTAATTTCTAAACAAAACCAGAATTTTTCCGGAAAACATTTAATTTCTAAACAAAACCAGAATTTTTCCGGAAGACATTTAATTTCTAAACAAAACCAGAATTTTTCCGGAAAACATTTAATTTCTAAACAAAACCAGAATTTTTCCGGAAGACATTTAATTTCTAAACAAAACCAGAATTTTTCCGGAAGACATTTAATTTCTAAACAAAACCAGAATTTTTCCGGAAAACATTTAATTTCTAAACAAAACCAGAATTTTTCCGGAAGACATTTAATTTCTAAACAAAACCAGAATTTTTCCGGAAAACATTTAATTTCTAAACAAAACCAGAATTTTTCCGGAAAACATTTAATTTCTAAACAAAACCAGAATTTTTCCGGAAAACATTTAATTTCTAAACAAAACCAGAATTTTTCCTGAAGACATTTAATTTCTAAACAAAACCAGAATTTTTCCGGAAAACATTTAATTTCTAAACAAAACCAGAATTTTTCCGGAAAACATTTAATTTCTAAACAAAACCAGAATTTTTCCGGAAAACATTTAATTTCTAAACAAAACCATAATTTTTCCGGAAGACATTTAATTTCTAAACAAAACCAGAATTTTTCCGGAAAACATTTAATTTCTAAACAAAACCAGAATTTTTCCGGAAAACATTTAATTTCTAAACAAAACCAGAATTTTTCCGGAAAACATTTAATTTCTAAACAAAACCAGAATTTTTCCGGAAGACATTTAATTTCTAAACAAAACCAGAATTTTTCCGGAAAACATTTAATTTCTAAACAAAACCAGAATTTTTCCGGAAAACATTTAATTTCTAAACAAAACCAGAATTTTTCCGGAAAACATTTAATTTCTAAACAAAACCAGAATTTTTCCGGAAGACATTTAATTTCTAAACAAAACCAGAATTTTTCCGGAAAACATTTAATTTCTAAACAAAACCAGAATTTTTCCGGAAAACATTTAATTTCTAAACAAAACCAGAATTTTTCCGGAAAACATTTAATTTCTAAACAAAACCAGAATTTTTCCGGAAGACATTTAATTTCTAAACAAAACCAGAATTTTTCCGGAAAACATTTAATTTCTAAACAAAACCAGAATTTTTCCGGAAAACATTTAATTTCTAAACAAAACCAGAATTTTTCCGGAAGACATTTAATTTCTAAACAAAACCAGAATTTTTCCGGAAAACATTTAATTTCTAAACAAAACCAGAATTTTTCCGGAAGACATTTAATTTCTAAACAAAACCAGAATTTTTCCGGAAGACATTTAATTTCTAAACAAAACCAGAATTTTTCCGGAAAACATTTAATTTCTAAACAAAACCAGAATTTTTCCGGAAGACATTTAATTTCTAAACAAAACCAGAATTTTTCCGGAAAACATTTAATTTCTAAACAAAACCAGAATTTTTCCGGAAAACATTTAATTTCTAAACAAAACCAGAATTTTTCCGGAAAACATTTAATTTCTAAACAAAACCAGAATTTTTCCGGAAGACATTTAATTTCTAAACAAAACCAGAATTTTTCCGGAAAACATTTAATTTCTAAACAAAACCAGAATTTTTCCGGAAAACATTTAATTTCTAAACAAAACCAGAATTTTTCCGGAAGACATTTAATTTCTAAACAAAACCAGAATTTTTCCGGAAAACATTTAATTTCTAAACAAAACCAGAATTTTTCCGGAAAACATTTAATTTCTAAACAAAACCAGAATTTTTCCGGAAAACATTTAATTTCTAAACAAAACCAGAATTTTTCCGGAAGACATTTAATTTCTAAACAAAACCAGAATTTTTCCGGAAAACATTTAATTTCTAAACAAAACCAGAATTTTTCCGGAAAACATTTAATTTCTAAACAAAACCAGAATTTTTCCGGAAAACATTTAATTTCTAAACAAAACCAGAATTTTTCCGGAAGACATTTAATTTCTAAACAAAACCAGAATTTTTCCGGAAAACATTTAATTTCTAAACAAAACCAGAATTTTTCCGGAAGACATTTAATTTCTAAACAAAACCAGAATTTTTCCGGAAAACATTTAATTTCTAAACAAAACCAGAATTTTTCCGGAAAACATTTAATTTCTAAACAAAACCAGAATTTTTCCGGAAAACATTTAATTTCTAAACAAAACCAGAATTTTTCCGGAAGACATTTAATTTCTAAACAAAACCAGAATTTTTCCGGAAGACATTTAATTTCTAAACAA